CTGCATATTGAACTTGTGCTCCAAGGAAAGGTAACAACAGTTTTTTTCAGTTTTTAATTTTATTGCATTAAAACTGCTTTTAGGTTATTATTGAATGTTTGGTGTATTTATCATCATAGTCTTGGAGTCTCACTACTGTTTTCTGCTCCATTTCCAGAACCAGTTAATAAAGCTTGGCCTTGCGTTTAGGCTGGTGATTAAAGCGAGACAATGAAATGACTGTAGCCGTCATCCTTCAGACATTTAAATGGCATTTATATGTAAAACAGTGTGATTTTATATATACTGCTTGCACGCAATTTAGATGCAATTATCCTCAATTGTTTTGCAGCAATGCCCTTGCTGTGTCACTATGGTGGTTTTGTTTGTTTGCGTGTGTGTGTGTGTGCAGGCCAGAAGTCTCCAGGGTTTCTGGTCGGAGCTGCAGTGGAACACAGAGAGGACAAAATACCTAGATGCTGTTCCCAACCCCAGATACAGAACCTCACACATAAAACGCGACTGGGATAAACTGGTGAGTGTGTATTTGTGTCTTGTGTTCCCCAACAAAAAGCCTCTCATGTATATTGATCACAACCAAATCTAAATATCCATACTGGAAGTCAAATTGATTGATGGTAGTTGTTTGACCATACTAGGTGTGTGTGTGTGTGTGTATATTTCTATGTGTGTCCTTGTCAGTATACCTGTGGGTTTTTGTCCAACACTGGGAGCGTATTTTCAGCCCTCCCATAATGGTGTTGCTTGTTTCAGAGGTCCGAGAGGAGACCATCCAGCCACATGAATCACATGGAGGAGAACACAAAGAAGTAGGTCTGCCTCCCACTGGAGCTTTGTTAAGAAAAGTACATTAGTTAGCCCTAGAACTGGAAGGAGGGAAGGCATGATTGCACCTCTGCACTGTGTTTGAAAAATTACAGGTTTTGCTCCACTGAGGCCCTGTGAGGTCAGGATTTCATCACTTGTCCCATTTTTGATGCATGTTTGAATAGTTTCCCTACTGTTAGCTCTGTAGTTTTTAAATCTTAAGCTATTTTATCAACTAATTTGAAAAAAAA